GGATTTTGAACAACTTTGCAACCCGCCTGGAGAATGCTTTTCGGAGAAAAGGAGCCTGAGAGGAACAAACGCAACCTAACAGCGAGCCAAAGCACCCTATATTTTGGACGCAGGAGCTCCCAAAGGTTGGCTGGCCAAAGCACCAAATGCCCTGGAACTGTTTTGAGCATAAAACCTTGTCTGTGGCCGGTCAGAACTTTGGGGGCTGTGTATAAAAGCAGGGAACTTGGCCATAAACCAGTTCTTTTTCACCCTTCCGCCACACAATGCAATCAAAAAAAAAAAATATGAGTTTGGGAGGCAGTAAATGGAACTGCTTAGATTTTTTTTTTTAACTCATTAAAAACACGTCTTCTTTCATAAGAGAATAATAAAAAACAACAAAACCAGTAAATCCTTAAATAATACAAAATAGGAGCAAGTTAAAGGTGCAGGCACAGTCACTCATAAAAAATTATGCAGATCAAAATCTGCATTTAAACTATGGGGTATAAGGGTCTTGAGATTATACACCCACTCCATTTCAGTTTTTCCAAGTAACTTTTTTATATCTCCTCCACGCCATGAAATAGAACATTTTTTTTATACCGATATATTTAAGTAAATATGGGTCTTTGTTGCGCATAATAAAGTGTTTAGATACTGTATGATTTAAGTATCCATTTTTTATATTTCTGCAATGTTCGCTCAGTCTTATCTTTAAGCACCTTGTGGTCATCCCCACATATTGGAGGCCACATGGACACTCGAGCAGATAAAGAACATTCTTCGTATTGCAACAAATAAAGTCATAAATATTATACACTTTTTTGGTTATATTTGACCTAAATTGAGTGATTTTAGATGGAACTGAAGAGTCTGTAGTTCTACATACTATACATTGTCTACATTTATAGAAACCTTTCGTCTGAGGAAAGAAAGAAAAGTTCTTGGCAGAGGATTCCTTAGTAAAATTGGTGGTTAGAATAGATTTAAAATTAGGTGCTCCTCTAAAAACAATATTTGGATTAAGTATCTCATCATCATGTTTGAGTATATGCCAATGCTTTTTTATTATTTTTTTTTTTTAACATCACTGCTTTTATTGTTAAAATTGAAAATCACAGGGAGAGATATTGGTTCGTTATTTTCTTTATTTTTGTAAATCAAGAGGTCTTTACGTTCTTTTTGTTTCACTGTATTAATTGTATTATTTAAGTCTGATTCTAAATAATTTTTTTCTATTAATTTATTTTTTAGGAGTTCGGCTTGTTCATTAAAATCTGTACTATTTGAGCAGTTCCTGCAAAGTCGCAGGAATTGACTCTTTGGGGCACTCTCAAGCCAGGGCTTATAGTGGCAGCTTGATATATCTATAGCCGTATTTACACACACCTTTTTAAAAACCGTTTTTGTTTGGAGTCGGCCTTCATTAATAAAAATATTAAGATCTAAAAAAATTAATGGATTCCTTGCTGTATTCATGTGTGAGAATAATACCCCTATTATTAATATTTAGATTATTAATAAAAGCAATAAGATTATCTTCTGTTCCCTCCCAGATAAAAAAAACAAGTCGTCTATATATCTAAAGTATGACACTAGGTTTGCTCGCCATGCATGGTTACCCCAAATTGCTTGGGTTTCCCAATCTGCCATGAATAAATTGGCATAACTAGGGGCAAACCTAGTACCCATAGCAGTACCTCTCTTTTGTAGATAAAATTAATCTAAGAACCAAAAATAATTGTTTTTTTAAAGTAATGTTTATACCTTCTATTATAAAATCAATTTGAGTGACAGGAATTTTAGCTTCTAAGGTTAAAATCTCTTTTATAGCCTGGCATCCTATATCATGGGGGATAATAGTATAAAGGGACTGAACGTCACAAGTAACCAGTATAAAATTCGATTTCCAAGTAAAATTATTTTAAAATTTTAAGAGTGACAGAGTCTTTCCAATAAGATTAACAGAAGGCTGGAGGAGAGTATCAATATATTGGGAAAGGTTACACAAAAGGGAACCTATCCCAGAGACAATTGGTCTTCCTGGGGGTTGCTGTTCGTTTTTATGAATTTTAGGGAGAAAAATAAATAACAGGAGTGAAAGGAAATTATTTATTTAAAAATTAAATCCGTGTTTGTTTAAAATATTTTTGTCCAAGCCTTTTTTTAAAAAAAAATTAAATAAAATGGTTTGTATATTTTTTGTGGGATCGGATAAGAGTTTTTCATATACATTTATACCCTTCAATTGTCTATGGGCTTCATCTATATACATTTTACTGGACTGGATAACTACTCCACCACCTTTGTCGGCTGGTTTTATAACAATATCTTTATCTTTTTGAAGTTTTTTTAATTGCCTTCCTTTCAGCATTTGTAAGGTTATTAGAATCATATTTTTTGTATTTAATTCTTTCGAGGTCTTTGTGAACAAGTTTTTCGAATAAGATCAAAGGGGCCGATTTACAATGAGATGGGTAGAACTTAGATTTTTCTCTGAGATGAGTATTTATAAAAGATCCTTCATCTATTTGTGGTGAAGGAGGTAGAATTGATGCTTAATCGTTTTTACTCATAAAAAATCTTTTTAAGGCAGCTTTTTGTCAGGATTACTGTTTGATCCAGCACGTAGAACTGTACAGCACGGATGACAAATAAATAACGTATTACCGGCCCTTAGAATGGCCGGATTTAACGTACAAAGAATAGTCAAAAATACTAGCCGAGGTCAGGGAACACAGAAAGGGACACAGCGATGAGGAAAGCCAGGAGTCAGGATACCAGAATATAGAGAAGTCAATAAACAAAACCAAAGTCAAAAACCAGGTAGAAAACTATAAACAGGAACGCGCTCTCAGACAACCACAAGGGAAACCACGACAGGGCACTGAGCAGGCTGAGAACTTTAGTTCTGATAGGCTGTAACTGGCCTTTAACCCCAAAGTCAGCTACCAGGTTCCCATTTACATAATTGCTGCTCAGCATTAACCCTTCTGTGGTTTAGGTTGCTGCTCGGCACAACTTTTCCTGTGTGGACAGTATATGTCATTAACCACATATCTATAAGCGGATGAATATGTGACACTTTTCTAACAAATTTATTTACATCAAGAAATGCTTGAAATGGGTTAAATGAAGAGGTAGGAGCAAATTTTAGACCTTTGTTTAAAACAGACAATTGTGCAGCTGATAAAACATTTTGAGAGAGATTAAAAATACCACTATAGGGAGCTTTAGGGGAATATTATCTTTCTAATCTTTCCCTTTTGTTCCAGTCTTCCACTTCGTCTTCCTCTAAACTTAGAATTCTTTTTTGGGAACATGATGGGTGCGGTGTTTGGGCTAATGGGGGCTGGTGAGTACGTATTTCTAAAAAATGATCTTCATTATCAAATCTGAATCTACTGACAATAGCTGGTACCTGTTAGAGTGATTAGGGATGAAAGGTGATTTGGAGTAGTTAGAATATTCAATGTTGTATAATCTCAAAACCCTTATACCCCATGGTTTAAATGCAGATTTTGATCTGCATAATTTTTTTATGAGTGACTGTGCCTGCACCTTTAACTTGCTCCTATTTTGTATTATTTAAGGATTTGCGGGTTTTGTTGTTTTTTTATTATTCTCTTAATATTGCTGTTGCCAATATTCTGTCTTTTCAAATAACAATATTGCTATTTAATTGTGTTTATTTAATTTTGTTTTAAATCTCATTTTATCTTTTATTTTTATGGTGAAATATGTCAATATATCTGCTTATTCCCTGCCTGCCATTCCCAGTATGGCTCTTGGGTATCTATTTGCCCTCCCCAAGATGGCTGCACTCTATTTTTAGCTAGATATTATACTCCCCTCCCTTCTGGTTCCCCGGCCGCCATTTGTGGCTATTACAAACTACATCTCCCATGAGGCTGTGCGGCTCACTTCTGGAACGCGGAAGTGCCGAAAATCACGTGGGTGATTTTAATCATTAAATTTTAAATCTCCCCCCCCTCGTTTTAGTTACCAATATATTTTAAACATGTCAGGGTATTATAAAATATATTTTTATATAGTTATTTATGTGTTTCAGATTTGCCTAATTGCAATTATGATTGGCTGGACCATTTTTGGTGCCAATATTCTAATTAGTTGTGCTCCTATATAACACTAATATGCCAGGTAGTGTATGTTATTCCATTTGAAAAAGTCTTTTGACGAAACGCGTTATGGAAACTTTTATATTGTGTATTTTTGTATTTAAAAGTAAATTTGGTCATTTGTTTGTGCCAATTACCTTTTTTTTTTTTTACACATACCTTTTTTTTTTTAAATTTATTTTTACCCTGGCCTTTTTATTATTTTATTTAACTTTTTAACCATTTCGGTCTTATAAACATTTGGAAGCTTCCTGCACCCCAAGAAATCCTAGGTGGGGGTTAATCCACTTATGCTGATACCACAGAGCAGTCCACCTGCTCTCTACTTGTAAGTACATTTTTATTTAATTTATATCAACACTGCTATACACTGAGCACTATCAGTTGTTTCTTTTTCCCGAGAACTGGACACCATAGAAGAGGTACCCACCACATATCCCATAAGCGGGGATTATACCGCTGTACGCGCTTTACCCTAGAGCTGGATATAAGCTCTTGCAAATGTGAGTTCTCTACCATTACTTTTTACTACGTCCATATTTGAGCTATACATATTGCACTATTGGTTTTCCCTTTCTTTTATCTTCTATATAAGTGGAACCACTATCATATCTGAAGACCCTACCACTCTTAAAAAGACTATCCGTAAGGACACACAAAGTTGGACTTCTTATTACTTGGACTTTGTTTTCTTTTATTATATTTTATGTGGCGCAGCTTTTTTATGTTCCTTTTATTTACAGCATTTTAGTACATGAAAAACAGTGCCACGTATATAAAAATCAAGAATATTTGATTTAAATGGAATAAAAACAGAACCTTCATGCCTCTTGTGGTTGGACATGCCATGTCTCTTTAAAGTTTGTTATTCTATGTGCAGGAGTTAATTTTGGCTCAAATGGATTAGAATTGAAAATGGAACACTTGCCTGTATTCGCACACAAAAAAAAATTAAGATCGTATTGACGTCTGTAATGAATCAAACTAATATAGGTTAACTACTCAATGCACAGTTTAGTAAACACATAAAACATGGAAAAAGTGCACATTGCCTGGCTTTTGTGACCTGAAAATTCACTCAAAAATCTTCAAGATTGTGACATCTCGACAGCGCAGGGACTATTGTGCCAATAAAATGTAGCAGTAGCAAATCATACTTCCATCAAGAATGAAAAACTACGTGAAAAATACTAATCTGAGCCCCTAAATCTACGGTAATCTCAAGTTTATTCCGAGCCTCAGAAGTCAAGAAGACGCATTACTGTGAAATTGCCACTAAGTTTGCTCGAAAAGGACTTGTGCACAAGTAGAATTATCACGCGTTGTGGTAAGAGGACGGAGTCACATTTATCTTTACAGCCCTATATTTAGTCACCAAAAAGCACTTTGTTGCGTTTTTGTGTTTTCCCTTTTAAATATCAAGGTTTAACAGTTTTCGAGAATGTAACAATCAATGTCCAAAGTACCAAAAAAAAAAGCCAGCCAGAAGACACACATGGAAACAAGATGGCACCTTATCAGTAAGAAATCCATCGATTGCATTGGCGCATGCAGTTCTGTGCACTAAACACATTGAACAATGCTGTGTGGAGGCCTTCTGTGACATTTGAGATTACTGCTCACTTTTGAGCAAGAAATACAAGATTTGTACACAAGGAAATGCTGTGGTCAAATTTCTCACGGCTACTGTGAAATGTAAATAATCTAAATTAAAGGGACACTGTAACTACCTAATGTCATTACAGTGTCTGGATTCCCCTTGCACTAATCTTCCATTCAGTTTTAAACTGTTTTTTATAGCAGGAACTGCTTGGGATAACCCACAGAAGCATTAACTTGAGTACTGTGGAAGATTGCCAATGTATCATTGCCAAGGATTCCCTTTCTTGTAGTGTTATAGCTCCATCCAGTGCATGTGATTATAGCCCTTCCACCCCAATACATTAGCTGAGCCTTTATGTTGGGAGTAGATCTGATTTTATTAGCACAATAAAGGTCATTTATACACTGACTCAGCATGGGGTCCATATTCAACAGCAAGTAATCCCACCCTACTGCCCCTGTGTCTGGGAAATAATTGCGCTCACTAAACTAATTATCTCCCTGATACAGAAATCACAACACAAAAACACCCCAAAACTCCAACACAAGATATATCCCTGGATAGCTCTGATCTAAACGTCCATGTTGACAAAATAGAGCCCGGATCCATGAAGAATTGACAAATCACCATTGAGGTAAAGTTTTGACCAGCTAATAACAAATTCCATGCCCAAAAGAGATTACGGATAAAATAGGCTTTTGCCGGTCAATGTCGGGAGTTCCTGTGTTGCCCCTGCCTCATGGATCGATTGTTCCACATAGTTCGGGGCACCTTCACTCCAAAAAGTACTCTTCTAGCTGTTTGGGAAGTGGGGGATTTCCTGAGAAGTTGTAGATGAATCGCGCTATAGTCCTTTCAGCTTTCTGGACTCCAATTACAGCCAGAGGAAGGGGCATTCCTGGTTGGTGGGCCTGGAGGGAATGGAGATGGGTGCCACGGGCAGTAAGAATAGTCTTTAGGGGGAAACAAAAGAAAACAGCCAGGAAGCGGATGGTTACTAAGGGATTCTACACAAGTAGCAAAGGGTAAACGTAATTGCCTGAGAATGTCAGCCGACTGCTTTCAGCCTATCAGAGTGCCCATTGCGGATATTAATTGGTATGGCTAGAAGAAAGTATGTGATCTCTGCTTAGCAACAACTCCAGTAGGGACCAGGCAGTGGCCAGAAACATTAATTCAATGTTCAACTGAGGACTCCAGGTACAATAACCAACCAAATTAAATAAAATGGTTCTATTGCCTACAGAGTCCCTTAAAATCTAAGATGTATGACATTTTAATACTTGACCTCATAACATGCCACAATGTAGTACACTGCAACACATACATTGTTATCAATGTTAATATTCTCCAACCAATAAACCGAAAAGACTCATTCCTCCACAGAATGCAACAAAGGCTCTCGTTATCCCAGTCTCTCCTGCCTGCACTGTATACAATAAAGGCTGTCACTGTCCCAGTCTCTCCTGCCTGGGCTGTATACAATAAAGGCTGTCACTGTCCCAGTCTCTCCTACCTGTGCTGTATACAATAAATGCTGTCACTGTCCCAGTCTCTCCTGCCTGGGCTGTATACAATAAATGCTGTCACTGTCCCAGTCTCTCCTGCCTGGGCTGTATACAATAAATGCTGTCACTGTCCCAGTCTCTCCTACCTGCGCTGTATACAATAAAGGCTGTCACTGTCCCAGTCTCTCCTACCTGGGCTGTATACAATAAATGCTGTCACTGTCCCAGTCTCTCCTACCTGCACTGTATACAATAAAGGCTGTCACTGTCCCAGTCTCTCCTACCTAGGCTGTATACAATAAAGGCTGTCACTATCCCAGTCTCTCCTACCTGCGCTGTATACAATAAAGGCTGTCACTATCCCAGTCTCTCCTACCTGCGCTGTATACAATAAAGGCTGTCACTGTCCCAGTCTCTCCTACCTAGGCTGTATACAATAAAGGCTGTCACTGTCCCAGTCTCTCCTGCCTGCGCTGTATACAATAAAGGCTGTCACTGTCCCAGTCTCTCCTACCTGCACTGTATACAATAAAGGCTGTCACTGTCCCAGTCTCTCCTACCTGGTCTGTATACAATAAAGGCTGTCACTGTCCCAGTCTCTCCTACCTGCACTGTATACAATAAAGGCTGTCACTATCCCAGTCTCTCCTACCTGCGCTGTATACAATAAAGGCTGTCACTGTCCCAGTCTCTCCTACCTGGGCTGTATACAATAAAGGCTGTCACTGTCCCAGTCTCTCCTACCTGCACTGTATACAATAAAGGCTGTCACTGTCCCAGTCTCTCCTACCTAGGCTGTATACAATAAAGGCTGTCACTGTCCCAGTCTCTCCTACCTGGGCTGTATACAATAAAGGCTGTCACTATCCCAGTCTCTCCTACCTGCACTGTATACAATAAAGGCTGTCACTATCCCAGTCTCTCCTACCTGCGCTGTATACAATAAAGGCTGTCACTGTCCCAGTCTCTCCTACCTGCACTGTATACAATAAAGGCTGTCACTATCACAGTCTCTCCTACCTGCACTGTATACAATAAAGGCTGTCACTGTCCCAGTCTCTCCTACCTGGTCTGTATACAATAAAGGCTGTCACTGTCCCAGTCTCTCCTACCTGCACTGTATACAATAAAGGCTGTCACTGTCCCAGTCTCTCCTGGCTGGGCTGTATACAGTAATGGCTGTCCCAGTCTCTCCTACCTGCACTGTATACAATAAAGGCTGTCACTGTCTCTCCTGCCTGGGCTGTATACAGTAAGGGCTGTCCCAGTCTCTCCTGCCTGGGCTGTATACAGTAAGGGCTGTCACTGTCTCTCCTGCCTGGGCTGTATACCGTAATGGCTGTCCCAGTCTCTCCTACCTGCACTGTTTACAATAAAGGCTGTCACTGTCCCATTCTTTCCTGCTTGCACTGTATACAATAAAGGCTGTCACTGTCCCAGTCTCTCCTACCTGCGCTGTATACAATAAAGGCTGTCACTGTCCCAGTCTCTCCTGCCTGGGCTGTATACAATAAAGGCTGTCACTGTCCCAGTCTCTCCTACCTGCACTGTATACAATAAAGGCTGTCACTGTCCCAGTCTCTCCTGCCTGGGCTGTATACAATAAAGGCTGTCACTGTCCCAGTCTCTCCTACCTGCACTGTATACAATAAAGGCTGTCACTGTCCCAGTCTCTCCTACCTGCACTGTATACAATAATGGCTGTCACTGTCCCAGTCTCTCCTACCTGCACTGTATACAATAAAGGCTGTCACTGTCCCAGTCTCTCCTACCTGCACTGTATACAATAAATGCTGTCACTGTCCCAGTCTCTCCTACCTGCACTGTATACAATAAAGGCTGTCACTGTCCCAGTCTCTCCTACCTGGGCTGTATACAATAAAGGCTGTCACTGTCCCAGTCTCTCCTACCTGCACTGTATACAATAAAGGCTGTCACTGTCCCAGTCTCTCCTACCTGGGCTGTATACAATAAAGGCTGTCACTGCCCCAGTCTCTCCCCTGGTCTGTATACAATAAAGGCTGTCACTGTCCCAGTCTCTCCTACCTGCACTGTATACAATAAAGGCTGTCACTATCCCAGTCTCTCCTACCTGCGCTGTATACAATAAAGGCTGTCACTGTCCCAGTCTCTCCTACCTAGGCTGTATACAATAAAGGCTGTCACTGTCCCAGTCTCTCCTACCTGCGCTGTATACAATAAAGGCTGTCACTGTCCCAGTCTCTCCTACCTGCACTGTATACAATAAAGGCTGTCACTGTCCCAGTCTCTCCTACCTGCACTGTATACAATAAGGCTGTCCTGTCAGATCTCCTACCTCACAGCTGTATACAATAAGGCATCACTGTCCCAGATCTCCTACCTGCAGCTGCATACAATAAAGGCTGTCACTGTCCCAGTCTCCTACCTGCACAACACAGCCAAGGCTGTCACTGTCCCAGATCTCTCTCCTATATAAGCTGTATACAATAAGGCTGTCACTGTCCCAGTCTCTGGGCTGTGTAATAAGGCTGTCTGTCCCAGTCTCTCCTACCTGCATAGCTAGCTACAATAAAGGCTGTCACTGTCCAGTCTCTCTGCCTGGGCTGTATACAATAAAGGCTGTCACTGTCCCAGTCTCTCACTGTAACACAGCTAAGGCTGTCCACTGTCCCAGTCTCTCCCTGCCTGGGCTGTATACAATAAAACTGTCGCACAGTCTCTCCTACCACTGTATACAATAAAGGCTGTCACTGTCTGATCTCTCCACTACCTGCACTGTATACAACAAGACTGTCACTGTCCCAGTCTCTCCTACCTGCACTGTATACAATAAATGCTGTCACTGTCCCAGTCTCTCCTACCTGCACTGTATACAATAAAGGCTGTCACTGTCCCAGTCTCTCCTACCTGGGCTGTATACAATAAAGGCTGTCACTGTCCCAGTCTCTCCTACCTGCACTGTATACAATAAAGGCTGTCACTGTCCCAGTCTCTCCTACCTGCACTGTATACAATAAAGGCTGTCACTGTCCCAGTCTCTCCTACCTGCACTGTATACAATAAAGGCTGTCACTGTCCCAGTCTCTCCTACCTGCACTGTATACAATAAAGGCTGTCACTATCCCAGTCTCTCCTACCTGGGCTGTATACAATAAAGGCTGTCACTGTCCC